TTCATAAAATAAGTGAGCTTTTTAAAATCCAAAGCTTCGGAAATTTTCAACAATGTAGATACTCAAGCGGCATGAATCCGAAGGTTTCCAAGTTCCTAATTTGTTCTATGTTCCTAATGTTACTTTCTACTCAAGTTCAAGTGATTCGACCCTGATTTTAATGACCAACAAATATGCGAGTTTTACTCAAAATAACAAACTTGCAGCGTATCAAGTTCAAATAGGCAATTTTTGGGGCTGCAAAAATTTTAAAAAGGAAGCCGAATAAACCAAAAAACTAAACGTGTGTGTTGAAACATTTAGTGCAAATTATTCAAGCAATCTTTTCATTAAATGCACTTGATCATTAAATGGATAATGCTATTGCATTTCAATGGTTACCCTCAAAGTGACCCCGAAGGCCCGCACATGTTCTAACTACATAAATGGATCAATTTTTTTTCAATGTTGCATAACATTGAATTGAGGGTACACATGTTCTTATCTTTGAGTGCAAGCAAATACCACTTGATGTTAAAGAATCTAGATAAATACCTATAGAACGGCTAAGACCTCAATTGAAGGGGCTGAAAGCCATACAGGTGAGGACTTGTTATGTCAGTTTAAACCGTGATTATGTAAGTAAATCGAGGACGAATTGAACGGCAGGAAAGCCGCAAAAATGCATTACCTGTGAGAGTGTCTGCTCCTCACACATTGAGTGGCCAGGTTCCGATAACATTGTGTACGAAAGGCTATTCTAACCACCTCCTTGGTGACATCGCTTTTGAGAATTACAGTCCGGAACATGGTTGATTTTTGTCAATTAAACTTGTACGACTTCTTAAGGTTGGCGAAACAGAGGGCGACCGAAACTTTTATTCACTATCCTCCTAAGGTCATTTAAAAGACTTCCACGACCGAAATCTGTGTTTCTGACGTTATCTCGTGTCGAAAACCTCGCGAGTTTGACAAACTATTTTAGTATCTTTTTACTATATGACGTCAAACTGACAGGCTTAGGCACGTGTCTACTACGACATACGTGTCTTGGTTAGTCAACGCGATAGTGTGAAATACATATAGAGAAATATGTCGGTTCATAAACTGCCGACGAACTTTTGGAGTTTTCTTTGAAGAATACTGCACTGGATGATCGGTAGTTTGAATAGATACGCATAGAGGGCTCCCCACGTATTGGCTGGGACTTGCATGAAGTGATGGGATTGTCGAGCGTCGTTCGAGTCTGATGGGTGAAAGACCTCGCAAATTGGCTAAAAATGAAGTAGGAATTTTACGTTCAGTTCATTCAGTTGCGGGAATTGCTTGCTTATAGTAATTTACTTGGATTATGCGCTCTTCAGCAACACTATTCGAAAACTGAGAGGTTGTTAACCTCAAACGTCAAAAATTTTACCAAAGGTCAAGCTAGTTTATCAGCGCTTGCTCACTTATAAAAAATGCCTGTACCTACAACGTTTCTTAGTGGTGTTGTTCGCAAAGTGCGATTTTGACCACTTTCCTCATTTCAGATTTTAATTTAAAAAATATGTTTTTGTCTCCTTTCCTCGTGTGCTCGCCAGTTGTCTTGTCCCTTTCCATTATACAGGGTGGTTCAATTTTCTCTCAAACCTCGCGAAAAATCCATATAAACGTAGTTACGGAAGCACTTCGTCTCCGAGGATTCAATGCCGATCATTGAATCCTCTTTAATGCGTTTTTTGTGCCGAGCCCTTCGAGCACGACACTGATTGAGAGGCAAAAGCTGAAAATGGCAATTTTAGAATGTTTGCGCGTCCAAACCAGTGTTGTGCTTGAAGATAATCGCACAACTTTGGCAACCAAAAGTGTTTGATGTATTTGTTGTTCCAAACCTGTCGGACACGACCTTAATTTGACACTATCTGACATTTTTGTTGCCCAATCAGTGGCACAACAAATACATTAGACACCTTCGAATGTCAACTTGTCAATATTTTTGTACTGCGCCACTGAAGTTTAAGTGATTTAAAAAAAACCTTTTTGCAATTTAGAAATTAAAATTTCTTGTCAGTTTCCACATACAAGTGGAGGCAAAATTTAGAAAAACCTGCAAACATATGTAACGCTGCTGACTAAAATGAGCAATTATTATTATTTCTGAAGCCCCAACAAGCACGAAAACTAATTACAAAAGCCGACTGAGAGCCATGATTATTTTCATAAGGCCCGTTCTATACTATTCGCGTTTCGCGCCAGTGCATTCCACTCTCAGGTCATTCATACCTAAGGTCTGTTGATGACTCGCCAAAGCGATCAACAGTCATCTCACCTCCCTCGTCTGTTTCCATCTTCTTCCACCCCATCATAGTGTTATGCAGACGTACGTCCCAGCTAAGTGGAATATTCGCGCCGACTGCTTCTTGATGGGGGGTTGGCGCAGGGTTTTAGGGCAATCAGGCCGCCCTCTTTTGCTACGTCATCTACTACGCCGTACTTTCAGGCGACTGATCGATAGAACTGAACGGCAACGTAGTGGTAAAAGCCATCCTAAATATAGGGCTCATTTCCTGGAAATAAACTGTTAATTCATTTGGGGGTCTGATTAATGGAAGACTGCGCCAACCGATGCTTAGATTCGCCCCTTATTTTCATATTACGCAGCACAAAAACCATTAAATGTTGTACTGTGGTATAACTGAAAAATCAATCCATTTAACACTTTTCATAACTCAGGAACTTACGACTCACCAAGATGTTTAAAATTCTACGCGAAATTGTCTTTAGGCCTAATGGTTACCAAGAGATTAATTTCTTGATTTTTTAAGGACGGAATAAAATGATGCTAACTAAAGCTATATTTGGTAATTTTTTTATGTTGCGTCTAATAGAAGTAATTATGGTTGCTTAATTTGCCGAATACTAAAGAAACTTGCGTTTTTTAATGAAAATTGTTTATAATTGGCTCAGACTTCTTATTTTGTTCTCAATTCAATGATATAAATGTTTCCAATAATTCAAAAATACCGTGGAAAATGTTTCTAGAAGGCTTTGGAACTATTAATTAAAACGTCATCTGTCAATAAGAATGTCACTCCAACAATTAAAAATAAAAAAACGCATTAAAAACTGTATTTCAATTTAAAAATAAATGTTTCAAAATATCAAAAATCCCCCATTATCAATTTTTTTCATTAGTGAAACAAAATTAATTAAACGCTCCAAACTCATCCGTGCCCTATGGCACATTTCCCGTCGATTTTCGCATAAAATGTTCATATTGCTCCTCAAAATCGCGGAATTTTTCATTAGATAGTGATCAGACTATCCGGACATTCTCCAACCGAGAACAATTGCGCCTGATAAGAAATTGCGCATTTTGCAGCGATGCAGTCTGGTCCCGAGCATGCAACCCCATCACATCCTCATCCACCCAGTTACATTGATCGACCCCATTTCTAAGCCTGGCGGCCTATTTTATCTTCCCCAAAACAAAACGGCGTGGTCGCCCACTGTTGCCAACTGCCGCCCCTGTCTGGACAGATTCCATGGATAGATATCACAATATAGGTTAAGTACGGGACAGATAAAGTGCAACACGCCCATAAACCGGGTAGCCCAACATTGACGCCAGTTTTATTTAGCTAGGATTACTTGGGAAGCCCAAGGGATATCAAGCAAAACATTCGCGACGTTTTGCCAACACGAATGGCTTACATCCTCAGAGGTTTTTTGCTGGGCAGCTTAGACGGGAGTGATTAACACTGATTTTTTCGGACTTTAAGGCAAGGAGGGGCTCGGCGCAGCACCACCCTGAAGATGGAAGCCATAAGTGCGTGCGAAACGTCAGGGAGACATTATTTTCCACGACGGCATCAAAGCCCGAAAAATTCATCAGTTGATATTATCTGAGCTCGAACATTCATAGATTAATTCAAAACCGACTTAACTCAGTGCAAACTTTAAATAAGGCTGAAAAATTGCCAGAAGTGAACAACACGAAACCAAAGTGACCAGCAAAAGTAAAATTTCCAATTTTTCTGATTCTTTTAAATTATTGTACAGATAGAAGAAAGTAAACACCAAGATTTCAGGCAAATAATAGTAAATTTTTTACGTTTTTAAAATGTAAATTCCTGCTATTCCCCGCTTACGACAAATCACTAATACTAGGATTAATTTTTCCGCTCAAATGAATAAAGCCATTAATAAATAATTTATGCGCTTACCCTGATCTAGAACAGGTTTTTTTATTGGAACGAGTCGTAAATCCGACAACCCCGTCTGTATAGAGGTCGAGGGGGTTGGCTCCCATCTAAAAAGGAAAGGGATGATGCGGAAGAACGCGGAAACGACGTATTAGAGTTTACAGGATTAATGAGTGAACGATATTGGTATTTATGAGTTAGAGGTTTGGGGCCGGTATAGTCGTCTACCCTCTCACGTATACGTGATAAATGGCACGAACGCACAAACTTCCCCTCGACCATTTGTTCGTCGCCATCAAAATCTGTCAACAGAGTTATTTTTTTCCGAACACCCTAATTAAATGTTGGTTTTTTCATCGTGCAGGCCTTCGAACAGTGCTCAGCTTTCAGTTAAAAAAATATTGTGCCGTAAGATAGAAATTAAATTAGGCAACAATCCTGCACCGACAATCTCAGGCAATAATATTATGTAAATCCTTTTGGCTTGATGGGATTATTCGCGCAGCGAAACCACTAAGCTGCAGGAGATATTTGTCATTTGCTGCTTTATCTGCCAACACAAGCGTTAAAAATAGTAAATTATTGATTTTTAACCGAAAAAAAAAACTTTTTCTAATCTAAATCCTTTTCTCACTCTCACACATCGACTTTCCGAAGACAACTAACCCCGCTAATGCAAGGGCGGATCCAGGGGGGATCATGGGGGTCATGACCCCCCCATTCAATTCTCTATC